GCGAGAGAGAGAGAGAGAGAGAGAGAGAGAGAGAGAGAGAGAGAGAGAGAGAGAGAGAGAGAGAGAGAGAGCGCAAGCATCGATCGAGTCTCCATTAACTCCGACGACGTCGTCGGTCCGTTGCCGGTCTTACCCTCTCCCGCTAATCGATGGGTGACCTTATCTTGTCAAGGGTTACCGGCTCCCATAAATCTTCAGTCTTTCTCCTAGAGTAAGTTCAAGGGAGGAACAGCCGCGATATAGAAAAGACACACCGCGGTGCTCCTCTTCTCTTGTCTCCTCGCGCCATTCTCGACCGAATAATACACTCGTATACGACCGAATAATATCGTGCAGCGCGATGTATAAGCGATGCAACTTGGATGAGGGATATAACGGCGTTGTCCTGGGTATTGCGCGTATACGTTGTCCCGGAAAAATCAATAGGCCACGTCGACTTCCGCTCGGCAAACACAAGTTTCCGCTACGCGAGTTTTCCCCAATACTTTTAGTCAAGTTCTTAAGAGGCAAGTGAGTGAAGAGGAGAGGAGAAAAGAGCGTCACGCTCTTCTCTTTTTCCCCAGTCGCGATACAGCTGCGGGCAATTATACCGGATTAATACCAGATGAGTCGGCGTCGCGGCCTCGCAACGACGATGGATATTAAAGCCGAGCAATCGCGATTGTCGCTGCTTTAATCAATAGTCGAGTCGATGAATGAAGTCGGCGGGCTTCGAGGAGCAGCTACTTTGAAATATTATTCTTGCGTGCATAGCGTATACTGATCATTTCAGGACCTGTAAATGACAGTTCGTATACTTTTCAACTGTTGTGATCGCTTACTAAACGGTTTATACTAATTTTTCCAGTTGCAACATTCCCGATTGTCACGCCTCGTTGGCCGATTGGCCAACTACGATCAATTTTTTGAAAGGCTGATGTGATTATATTATAAAAGAGCCAAAGTGCATCGATTCTTTATTATATACTTATCTGATAGATAAAAATGTGATACCTTTCCCTGATTTTTCCGTAGCACCTGTGGGTCACTTTGGCTCCTGTTACAACCGATTATTGCACAAACGCGTCAGCGTTTCTCTCAATTGTCTCTCAATTGTGACAGCTTGGCATCTTCAATGGGAAAATTGTGTATAAACCGTTTGGGAGGGTAACCGAGTATGTGGTTCGTTTGATGTTGTTGAAAAAAGTCCGTTTAATTTACTTTTCGCGTACGTCGTGCGTGCACCAATAACGCGAGTTAAGCGGAAAACACAGTCCTATATCCGTGTGGTCATGGTTCTGAAGGAAATGCGTGTGTAATCTTTACAGACACACACATACACACATTCTACGCGTGCGACGTATTGGAAACATTGAAGCGCACTGAACGCACGACGAGAAACGCTGCCGAACGATACTTGGCGAGAGAAATTTACAACCTTATTTTTGACGCCGTAATTTAACGCGGTCACAGTTCGAACTTTGGACGTAAAAGGCTAACTCAATATGTTACCGGGTCTTCGTAAAGTGGAGCACAATAGATTTTATTTATTTAGTACGACGTGGCGTAGGAGCACAGGAGCGACGGAGAGGGAGGGAGAGATTCCCCTGTGCGTAATTACTGTCCGTCAGAGCCCTCCTTAGACCCCGACGTCACTTCGTTTAAGCACGTATATGTGCAGTAATTCCTCAAAGGCACCCGCGCCGCACTCGGCGCCGTGTTTCTTGTCCTCCATCACGGCTGTCGTTCGCTTGGCAATAAGCCACAGTCACGCCTGAGATTAATTTCGCACAAAATTTAACGCGGGAGCCCGCTACAACCGCCTCTAAAGTTACGGCCTAAGTGCTTTACGATGTACCATTTACGAGCCGCCATTTTACGTCTGTTTAAATTCAATATACACTCTTTGCGTCCCTGCACAAGTTGCACTCGTCCCGTATACCTTATACGACGCGACACCGCCAAGAGGTGGAAGAGCCAACATAATGCTCGCCGCTTGATCGTGGATACTTTGCGCGTTCGTTCGCCATCTCTCGACTCTGCCAAGCCAAGTCGCAGCCATTCGCCAGGAAATTTATCGTACCGGCGCTCTCGGATACACCGTAGATATAACAAAAGTGCTCGGAGAAAACTATTATGGTTGTCACATCCCCATTCTCTATGGTCAGAGAGAAAATTTATATGATTTCAAATTAAATAGATTAAAAGTCGCTGCGCTGTTATGTACGAATCTCTCACATTTCTTTCGATGTTATCAATCAGTTATCTCAACCGCAGATTGTTTATTGTTGTTTCTTTGTTACTATGGGCGAAAAGTAACATTTTTTTTATTGCGACGATCACATTTTAAGCAAGTGATACCCTTTTGAACGAAAATTCGGTTTCCTTACTACATAGCTGGTTAAAGCAGCTTTTTCTTCGTTTTATGATATTCTTATAGAGGGAATAAATTCTACATTTTTGAGTACATGATAACAGGTTCTTCTTCTTTGTTGTTGAGATAATCTAGATTACTTAAAAGAAGGAAAATAAAAGCAATCATAGCTTTTTTCAGCAGAGAGTAAAATGATGAATATTTTTTCGTGTGCACACATACATTTAACCAAATGATATCTCTAGTGTTTTCTCCGTGTGAATAGAGCGAAATAACCACCGAGGCGAGTGGGGTAACAGTTTGGATACTGTGGAAACGCAAATCAAACTGCGCTCTTAATTTCACCGTTGAGGAACGATAATAATTGTTCGTTTGATCGAGTTGCCGGCGAACGCATCGCGTCGCGACGATCATTACCTGACTCTCGCTGCAAGCGGCGAGTAACCGTTGGCATCCACCTGACACCTCGCGCACCACACCGAAATGTAGCGACGTCGTCGTCGGGATGCGCGTCCGCGGCGGAACAAACCGAGAAGTTTGCCGAAAGGAACAGCTGCAATTCGACTGCCAATCGCGATGTCGGTCACGTAGCCTTGATATCACGTATTAGGAACGTATAAGCACAATGCGAATGCACGTCTTCGCCCCTCGATAAACCGTTTGTCCCGTTCTTTCTGGGACTATGGGGCGGGAGGTGTCGACAGGCGTTCGTCAAAGTGTCGTTAAGCGACGGAGCGTTCGTTACAAGCGTGTCGTTTCGCTAACGGACGAGAGCGAAGCAGCGGCAGAAAGTTTGCCGTCGTCTGGGCGGAAAATCGTGCCAACGCGTTATGCAGCTGATGATTCTTTTCTGCGATCTGCGTGGTGATTTACGATCGAGAAAATAAGCGAAAAGATGCCTTTTAAATCATGCCGATAATTACTTAAGAGTCTCTCGAAAAAACAGACGAGTAGCATTGTCACACATGCCGCCTGAGCGTTTTCACAGTAGGAGGTGTGTTAAAAAAAGAAATAACGTACAGCGTGTAGAATTCATTCTTTCATAAATATGAAAGCAGCGGTATTTTTTCCTCGGCTCTCGAGACCCTCGAGACCGCGACGATTCTTTCTCCCTCGTTAATCTACCATATTTAGCACGTACCCTTTCTCTTTTTTTTTCTCATAAGAGAAATTACGTAAAAATAGCCAATTATGATTATTTTTTCACGAACACCCGTATGTAATTCCGATAATAGATAAAAGAGACGGGAAAGTATACAGTCAAGAGCAAAACGAACATTTTTTCTAGCGAAGTTAGTAACTCATCCAGTTGTCACATTTGGGGAACATTGCTCACGGATTGCTCGCGCGGAATCGACAAGAGCCGATATGTGGTGTGAAAGTAAATTTTAAAGGTTAAAGGCAACACATGTTAATATATCCGAGTATATTGAAGCATTTTGTGCTTCAAATATAAGAAACGAAGGCACGAAATCCAGGAAAAATATCTAAGTATGCAATTAAAATTTGCTCCCCCCGCCTCTTTCCCTCTCTCTCTCTCTCTCTCTCTCTCTCTCTCTCTCTCTCTCTCTCTTAAACCGTTTCGCTTTCGACTATTCGTTTAAAGTATCAGACATTGCTTTTGAAGCGCTTAAAGAAAAACCATGATTGACCCATATGCCAAGCATTAAAGTGCTTGTAATGTATCCTTAATTAATATCCAAAGTGTGTCGAGGAAGGAAAGATCCATTCAGGATCGACAAAGCGGTACGTGCGAGAGGTAGCTGTAAACAAGTCGTCGGCTACACACACGTGTGACAGTCGCCTCTGGCGGAGGTGCTAATGGTGGTGGTGGTGAGCACTAAAATGATGCGTAAAACAAACGAGTGACCGATGTAACGAGTGTGACCCGGTCGCGTCGTACCGGTAAATTGCAAGCACTTTAATTTCGCGGCCGCCCTCTCTCGTCCCGTGCGGCCGCCTCTGTATATTACTTACCCGGCGAAAAACATGAGAAGAAACCACGAGCCCGGCACGGCGAACACCAGTATCGCATCCTCCGCGTGCCGATTGCCGGCGATACGACATGGAATGCACGCGAGAATGAGCAGATTGCTGATCACGAATATCAACTTGGCCGGTTCGTGGCTCTGAAATGCAAATGCGCGCGGGCGGAACGTTAGTGCAGCCGCATGCACTCTTGCAACGTTTCAGGAACGTCCGCAGAGAAATCGATATTTTCATGCAATTTCGATACCTTCCTGTAACGACGGCGAGACCGCGCGATGGGAAATTTGCGCGGGGACGAAGGTATCTTGGCCTCGACCGCGCATAAATATTTCGCGTCACCAGTTTTGTTTTCACAGCTACTTAAGGGAATAATCAACTTCAGAAATATTAATAAGGCAATCGTAGAGGTAAACGTTATTGACTCCTTGACCATCACATGACAGGAATATCTGCACATTTAAAATAAGATACTTGTATCGGGATAATTAGAACGGTATATTATATTTTTATGCTTTTGTGGTCGCTGATCACAAGAACTGAATCTTCAAATCTAAGGTCCAAAAATTCAAAAAGTTGCTCGATTTGCATAAAAATTGCAATGTTTTTGAAACCTATTTCAAATTCAAAATAAAAGTTCATTAGTTTAAAATGACAAATTCAATATGATGGGCGAGAAATTCAAAGTATAGTTCAGTTTGCACAAAAATTAATTTTGAAGGATTTTAATTATTTAAAAATTTTTCGTCGTTATATTGGATTCGTCATTTTTTCACTAAGAATTTTAATTTCGGAAACAACGGCTTCAATACAAATCTTCAATACAAACTTTTACGCAAACCGAATGATTTCCTGGATCTTTGGTTTGCCACATTGGATTCACCATTTTGTATTTTGAAATTTTAATCTCAGATTCAGATGCAGCCATTAAAAAAAATCCTCAGAAAGTAAATCAGAAAGTAACCTTTTTATAATTTTATTAACTCTTTTGCCAAGAGTATCTTTGGCTTCCAAGCATTTTCTCGCCCAACAGCCAAAAGGTTGGTCGCGATCTAATCTGCTACTTTATAGTCCAAAGACACGTACAATTGTTTTGATTCCAAATCACAATTCTATAATACTTGTAATATTTATTTTTATATTTATTTATTAATTTACAAAATTTACATATAGTCTTATATGTAGAAATCTTTTTGCAAACTCTTTGTGAATTCTTAAGCTTTTAAATTCAGTTGCAGAAAAAGTGTAGCAGTGTTATTTTACAAATTTCTAGACGGAGCAAGCACACCTTCGACATGTACAAATTGCACAATTTTTGTATCGAGGAAATATTCATGCCAGTTGGCATCTCGAGATGTTAATTTCGATACTTTTTACCCATATTTTTGACACATATTGAGCAACACTCCAAATCATTTTTGCGCGTATCTTTGTTGCGCAAAAATATTTTTAATGTTGTGCGTAAACTTGGCAGAAAAAAGTCGGTATTTTGTCGGTGAAGTTTTCAAGTGTGACATCCCCTTAAGTATGCCGATCTAAAAAATACGTTAAAGAAATTCTGAGCGTAAATAAAAGGACAGAAATGTATTTCTATACTGTCGCGTTTCGCGTATCGTGTTGCTGTATTAAATAATAATGGGATTTTAAGTTGAGTAAGAGTAACTGTGCAGAAAAAATCGACAAGTGATCTTCCCGATAACGGGAGAAATGGAATTAGCATTTTGGCACACGCGTGAAATCGGGAAATGCGACTCGAAATAAATAAACGAACGTTTCGCGCATAGATGCGACATTAAGTAATTAAACGTCGAGCTTGTATTTACAAGTAATTAGGTAAAATATTTTTGACCACCTGGGTCGCGGGCAAATTACACACTGCCCGACGACGAGACCCGCGGTCGGGCGCGCGTTAACGTTTTTGAATCGTCGCCGGTATTAATTACCCGCAAATCGAAGCGGACGCGCAGACTGGGACTCGCGTTTAATAATGCAACGATATAGCTCGCGTCGTTCCGATTGTATTGGAGCGCCAATACGTGGGTGTGTGGATATGTGTGTGTGTGTGTGTGTGTGTGTGTGTGTGTGTGTGTGTGTGTGTGTGTGTATGCGTATCGATCCAGTGCGAGCAATAACCGACGGTATGTATACGTATATTTCCTCTTAATTGATAGATATGGATAGATAATCGATAGGCAACGATAATGCGCCGTGGACCTTTTCTGCATTTTCGCGTTTCGTGCGAGAATTTCTCGGCCGGTAAGCACACGGCATAAATTATCATCGCGCAAGGTGTGTACGTATGCTGGCCGTCTGCAGATGGTTACAATTTTTATTTTTTTTCGAGAGTAAAGCACGAGGGGGTCGTTCGAAAAGTACGTGACCTGATACAGAGATTGTGCGTGAATTTGGCCAACTCCTTATTACCGTATTTCAAAACCTTTCTTTTATCAGATTAAGCATGACAATAGAGAACGATTTGTCGATTAAAATTTACGCATGTTATTATTTCCCTGCTGGAACAACCATCAAATATATATAGCTGGGGCCAAAAATAACTATAATTTTAGTTGGATCAACCATTTTATTCTGTCAGTATAGCCTTTGTTTGACAGTGTATCAAAGTGAAGTCCTGCGTTTGGTCACAAAGACTAAATTGCACAGTTTTATTGTTTCTCGCATCTTTTAGCATGATTTATATACAGTAATGAAGATTCGGCCAAATTTTCTTTTGGTATTAGGGCACATATTTTTCGAATATTTTACGAAGGACAAAAGATATATATCCCGTTGAGAAAGGATCCATATATTCAAGATATCGATTCTATCAAAGATACTTGCGACGCAATCCATCATTCGCGGTGTCTTCTCTGAGATTTTATTTTCCTACGATATTGGGCTGTATAATGTGATATCGCTCGAGGCAATCCGATAATTAAATCCGATATCGTGGCATTAATCTCTCGGAGGGACAACGACGCGCACACGTACGTTGATTTTATTTTTAGAAACATGTATACTTGCGCGCGCTCCTGCCTTACGATAGAAAAATTGAGAAACAAAAAGTGCCCCTTATAAATCGTTGCCTATCAATATCACGTTTTTGACGTTAAATCTATTTCACTATCGGCCCGATGAACAAGAGGAAACCGGCTTTTATTATTTATGATTTAATAGAACTTGTCCAAGAGTTTATAGTTAACGATATATCGATGCAAAAGCGTCATTATCAGAGTCTCGAATCTCGCGACAAACCGATCGCACACAGGCGACCGGTTGATGAAGTTGCGGAAAAGAGACCGATAGGAAATCGGCCAATCTCGTCGGTCTCGTTACCGCTATTGCTATACCGCTACTCGTAATACGCCCGTAATCATCGACCTATCTCTTTCTCCCTCTCTGTCTGTCTCTCTCTCTCTCTCTCTCTCTCTCTCTCTCTCTCTCTCTCTCATTCTTCGGTTTCATTAATGCGTGAAAGATTAGTGCCACGAGCGTACGGTTTCCAACAGCCGCGGAATATACCTCGCGCATCCATCGTGATCCGTTATAGTTCACTAGCCTCGGATTTGCGCAACCGGCTGCACTTAGCCGGCATCGCAACCGAAATTGCATCGTCCAGCATCGACATCACGAGCCGTCATGAAACAACGGGACATTTCGCGACCGGGAGAAACGACCAAGATGATGCAGGAGCGTTTGGATTCGTTTCGGAACCCCGTATTCGCTGTGTGCGAAATTTGTCGCGTACAAAAACACCCGCGCGGAATACTCGCTTTCTTTCTATCGTGGAAATTTGATTCTTTAATTTGTGTTGATCACAAAATTTCTCAGCAAATTTACGTGTGATGATTCGAAGAAAAGTTACATGAATCTCTACGAGATCATGGTTTGTGCTGTGAAAGTGTATTTGTTATCGCAACTCAAATTTTTGCTACTGCATCGTAGATAAATATATGCCTGTGTACAAAACGTTACGAAAAAAAAAAAAATGTTAAAAGCCTAATTAGCGGTCGTTCCAGTCTCGCGACCTAATCGATTTCTCGAGCCCATGAATGTCGAAGCTCGCGGTACTTTAGGAATAAAACGCCTCCCTGATGGCGAGGTCGTCGTCGCTACGGGGGAAAAAGATCCGTGCCTACCAACCAGTTGCTTCAGGAACGACAAGGGACCGATGTTGATCATCTCGCCGCCCAGTTGCACCAGGATGTAACTCAGCACGCCCAGCACGGTGCTGCACTCCGCCGCGATACGTACGACGTCCGTTATCTCCTCGGGCCACTGCAGCAACACGGCGTCCATGTCCGCGGGTCTGAAGTACACGGCTAAGGACAGCGAGGCCAGGTGAAACACCAAGATAATCAATCGCTTCAGGAACTGCAACTTTTCGTGGAGAATAGATGTCGGCGTATGCACTCACGAACTTTCCGCATCGATTGGCCGGAACATAAGAGGAAAGTTTTACGAGGAGTAATATAGGGGTGGATATATAGGCGGACTTGCGAAAATATCGTTGGTCCTGGGGCTAAGCTCGAGGGGGTTTTTCGGTCGAGGAGTCGAGCATTCGAGATGATCGATTTTCTGGCCCTCTCGTATATTCCGCGTCGCGCCGCTGTCCGTCCTATCTTGCGCCTCTCTCGGCCGCGTGTTTCCGCGAGAGTATCGGAGAAGAGAAAGCGTGATTCACGGCGCGCGGTCCTGAACAACTCCAAGATACGCGCTTTTCGCTCGGACGACTTCTTTCTCGTTCTGGATCTCTTATTCATTAAATCAGTGTATTAATCATTGAAACGCTACAACTAGTGCTTTTCAGTTAATTCGTTGATATCTAACTTAGGTTACAATCTCATTGAAAGGGTCGATTTAATAATATTTTGCTGTATGCAAAGAATCGTACGATGAAGACAATTTGACAGAATTTTGTACAAGAAGAAAGAAAGAAGAGGTGCGACGGTTAGAAACTAGTTTTACCGTCCAGTTGCTGGCGAAGCAAACTGGCCAGTTAGTAACCAAAGTTATCGGCCACACAGCAAACACTAACCATCATTAACGTACTATCGGTGTTGTGATTTGACAATGTAGATGCAGTGTATAACACGTGTATTACATTGCTGCATTGTTGAGTAGCAGATTGTAGCACTGATGTTGCGTTACTGTGATTATCTTGGCTATGATTATCGGGCAATTCACTGACAAATTTTCTATTTTCTTGAGTAGTCATTTTATTCATTCGGAAACATTTTTACTGATTCACTCCAACAGAGTGTACTTGATATCACGTGTTTACTCTTCAAATGCCGTATCCGACTTGTCGGACTTCTAGGACGCGTCGCAGATCGTCGCGATATCATCCCGCGATATGATCGCGCGAGCGTTAGCCGTGTTGTCGCGCGATAATCCAGTCACTAAAGCGCAAACATTGGACGTCTTTCGTTTTAGTCTTGTCAAAGCCGCGTTATCACGCCGCTCATTCGCAAAGTGACCATTGTACGCGCTCCGTTGTACGAGCAAAATCATTTTAACGAAGCACTCGGCGGGATTGACTCCACGATCGGATAATAGGAGAATCATCGCGGCCGGATACGGTAATACTACGCGTCTACGTGTGCGGTTCGAGTGTGGTCATGATTAGTGCCATAAATGGGACACGTTATGGACGCGGTGCAGTTATAATATGCGCGATACGCCCGTCCGATCGACGGAGCTTTCGACGTACGGAAGCTCGTGCGTGATGCGATCGTAATTGCAATCAGCCCGCCCGTATAACTTCGATAGCTATCGTTTCGAAATCACTGACCTACCGCGGCTCCGACGGAGTGACTTGAAATAACCGACGCAATTATATGCCATCGCCGGAAGCCTCATCGACGTCACTCGACCGGCCGATCGGCCGGAGTGTTAATCGTTCGAAGTCACTCGAGGGAGGAAGGGGAGAGAGAGAGACGGGAGGAGGGAGGAGATCGCATATTCGATGTCGCACTGAACAACGCGATGTCATCTCGAATTATAGACGCGCATTTGCATCGTAAATTCTAGGAAAAACGGTCCATTAGCCAGAACGTTTTTACCGTCTAGATGATTGATTAAAGAGTAACTGTTTAGAAAAATACTATTTTTTACTAGTTACGGGCCGGAAGATAGGCAATTAAAGTGGTCGGTAAATGTTGGGCATGTTTTTCTGTCTAGTAGAAACTCGGAAAATAGTGCTTCTTCTTCACAAACATGAATTTCACATTATATTTGAATAAAAAAAATATATTTTACAATGTAGAGGATCAAAACGATAAAAATTATTTCATAGAATTTTGTACAAAAAGGTTTGGTTAGGAACTGATAGGTTACAAAACTGATCAGAAACTGACTGGTTTTACTCGTCCAGTCACTGACGAAGTGACTAAACTGGCGCCTACACTGGCCAGAAATTAACCAGTAGCCAGAATTTCTGGTCAGTTATTGGCTAGAAAGAGGTCGATCTTTCTACTTGGGTACACTATTTCATCAATTCGGGATGAGCGCGCGTTAAATCGGACTCCCGAGAAACTCGTGCTTTCCGAATATTTTAATCGTTGCTCGAATAATTGTTTATAAAGCTGGCTGTATAAGCTGGCAATTTAAATACCTTAACATAAATAACCGCTCAAGTATCAATTTGGTAGACTCGTTTTAGCAAACCGTGAAGCCAAGAACTATCAAGAACTAAGGTGCTCAATATCGCCCGACCTGCTACGCAAATATCTCAAACATTCCGAATAATAATCTGTTATTTATCGGTATCTGTCCGCACGGACAACTTACATTGTCAATTGTATAAACTATATTCTAAAAGAGAATACTTCGATGCAGCTTAATCTCGTGTGACATAAATTCTTGTACTCTCCTCTCTTTCTCTCTTTAATAATGGTAGCATAAAGAATCCCAGAAATATATGACCCAACGAAATCTCAAAAATGATTTCTGCGTGAGCGGAAATATCGTGTGAATATCAAAATGTACACAGTGTCTCATTGCCATCGCTATTCCTATGGATATCGATTTTAAGAAGATTCCGCGAGAAATTGCCTCGAGAAATTGATCTATACAGTAGGTAGTCCAATTAATCGGTTATTATAGTAAAATGATAGTTTATTTCAGCGGATAATTTTCAGGTATATGTAACTTGATCTAATGTAAATTTTTCATAATTCCGACATGTATCCTGCGGTATAGAGATATTCTCTAGTAGGGAGAAATCGTCTTTAATTGCATCCCAAATCATTAATATGCGATACGAAGCGCGCTGCTACTCGCCAAATACACAAGATGTACGCGTTAAGCATAAAAATATAAAATTGAAGGGCTGCGAAAGAAGCAACTTCCATTTTTGGTGCATTGAGTTACGTACGGAACATGAGAAGAAAAGAAATCTTTCTTTTGTTCGGTGTAAGACCCGGGTAGCCGGGTATGAATACCCAATAGATGTTACAAGCTGAAAGGAGCTCCGTTGTACATTTGGCGAGAGAAAAGAGCAAATCCTGGATATCATGGGATACGTTAGACACATTAGCATAGTGCAATTCTGGCGAACAGGCGAAGGGCAAATTGTTCATTTTGAGGTGTTTCGCGCCGAAACATCCCCTTATTGTCGATGATGCGATTATGCAACAAACGTTGTATTCAGCGGGGGCTGCCATTTCATACCTAATATTTTATTCGGCCGCGCGCAGAAAAATTGGGTATTCGAAATGGTGCTAAAAATCGAATTAATAAAAGATGAGGTGCCGTTACCGCGCGGCACGGTCAGCGTGCTACGTGATTCTATCGTTACAGGCAGAATATCCCCGAGTCACCGAGTTAGCGTAAAGTCAAGCGTGAAAGCAGAGCTGCTTGCTGACCGCATATTCAGCGCTAAAAGCGAGCCCTATAGTGTCTGATTCTCAAGCTGAAGTGTGACATCGCGTGTGACCTTTGCACATAAGATAAATAAAGTTTAGAATCACAGAGACGGTTGCACATGACGCTAAATACGCGGTCAGAGCGGAGAGAGCGGTGGAAGAGCGGCGAATGAACGATGAAAAAGTTGGCGTGACGCATATTATAATTCAGCGAGAAACGAGCGGGAAACGCCATCACGTGGACGCACTTACTCGCGCGAAGGTCTTCCATTTTTCCTCGAGTAATCGCTGAATAATACCACCGTCCAGCATGTCCAAGTGCTCCTCCTTCGTGCCGTTCAGAATGATAAATAGCGCGGAGTTCCAGTCTGAAATAGAAATTCGGAGAGAGCCATTTGCGGTTAATGGAACATCGCTTTAGGGTTTGCGCCGCGATAATTATGGGTTTTGCATTAGTGAGCGTGCGTATATACACGGCGCCGCTGCCGCCGCCGCCATCGCCCCCGGTACGGCACCACCACCTATGTGCAGGTGCGACTATGAACGCGGCGGCGGCGGCGGCGGCGGCGGCGGCGGCGGCGGCGGCGGCGCCTTTTCGGCGTCTTCGTCAGGCGCATCAGGCGCGGAAAGTGTTTTCCTGTCGCGACTAGATTTGCTCGAGAGGGTTGGGATCTGACTGGTCTGCATTCTGTCCGCCATTTTCAGGGAAGACATGAGTGGGAGCGAGACAGAAGCTCTATGACCGAAATGACAAAGAACGCTGTAGCTTGTCACTCATTGCCTTCCTACAAATGGCGAACAACTATGACTTGAGGAACTCTAGTCACGACTAAAGGTCAACAAGAATCTCGACGCCATTAACGCGTTTCATTGGAAAATGCCCGCCAACAGCGGAGGATGAGCGACGTTGCCGAAAACATTTGTCGGCGTTTATGTATCTGCGGCTGTATCGTTGATGCGTATTCGAACGCCAAGTTTCGATTACGCTTTTCCGATTCTCAAGCTAAACAACCTTACAGTTACCTTATTATCTTACAATTACCTTATATCTCGCATAAGAGAAACGAAACTTTTGGAATAAAAAGGGCGTACTTGGCGTTCAAATACGCGTCAAGAATGGCGCATCGCATCGCATCGCATCGCATTGTATCGTATCGTATTGCCGCGACGAGCCGGGCAATCCGAGGCAACGACGCTTCCATCGAGAGGTCGACGTTGAAATATTTAAGTCACGGTTAGCGACTTTTAGCGTTTTACCTTGGCGATATATATATATATATATATATACATAAACATATACATATATATACATATAAATATATATATATATATATATATATATATATATATATATA